AAGTGACCGGTCACGTCCCATCATTCGGGAAATGGCTGGTCACATTGCATCAGTTGGGAAGCAAGAGATGGAAGCTGATTCCTGCTCACAGGATGGTGCCACCCACATCCAGGAAGGGTTTTCCCTCAGTTAATCCTCTCTGGAAGTGAGTCTCCTGTGTGTAGCCCACTCCAGCCAGTGACACATATTCCCAGACTTTAGGATGATATCCACAGATGACTTACCTTCATCAGGACAGCCCCCAGCAGGGCAGAACTCTCCAGCGAGTCCTTTGAATAGAATGTTATTTCTGCGGGATCCTGTTCCCTACAAACCTAAGGGCTTGGCCTGTGCGGAGAGGCTGTGGAGAGATTGTCCATAGCCATGGGGAGTTGATTAATCAACCCCTTACCAAAGCCGTTGCTCAGTGTCAGCCGTAGCCAAGTACAAAGACCGGGGAGCTCAGAGGACAAGGCTTCGCCATTGGGAAACATTCATACCCTTAAGCCCAAAGTTCAGGAGGCTGAACAGCAAGGTTTCTATGAGTTTGGGCTAGCCTGGGCAACAAAGTGAGATGCTGTCCAGGACCCTGTCTGACAGTCCCCTAAACTTACACTGACCTGCCTCCCTTCCTGATATGCCAATCCCACAGTCAGCAGAGGGTCCATGTGTGGCATCCCTGGGCATCCCCTGTTGGCCTTCTCCCACCCTATGTTGGAGTCCATCCACATGGAGTTAGATTTGGGTCTTGGTGAATCTTTCCACCCCAGGACCCAATACCAAGGGACAGGTCACCACAACCTCCTCATAACACAGCCAAGGGACAAGGCTCAATTTCTGAGCTATGACCTTTGCCCTCAATTTGCAGGCAATTCCTTGGCCCAACTAATAGCTCAGGGGAATGCTGTGGGTAAGGTGGCCAGTCAGTCCTGGCCTCCTTCTGCAACGTCCTGTCCCTTCTATAAAGCACATGCCCAGAGGGACGTTGAAGTCGTCCCACAAATGCACCCCCAACAAGCGCCCCACATGTCCTTGTCACCCCATCACTTTATAGCAGAGGGTCAGTCCCACCTGAATTCAGACAGTACAGCCGATGACGACTTCCTCATCTATTGTCACAAGAGAGCACAGTGACGGAGCCACTTAGCTATGATCACAAAGGCATGAGCCCCTTACTCTCAGGAACTGCTAACAGATACACCTGGGTGAAACCAGCCATCTGAGAAAAGACACACAATGCAGGAGGACCCTGGGCAACCATGGTGGAGGGAGCATCTCCAGGTGGACTGCACTCTGTAAGGGGCAGTGCCTGGGCCCCCACCTGGCTCATTGCTTGGTGCCTTCTAGTCAGCCACATAACCTCTCGCCGTGCCCGCTGCCTCCCAGCTATGGCGGTCAGGCCTGGCTGGCTCACAATAGGGTGATCCTTGCCATGCCCAGTCCTCTGGCACTGCCCCAGGCCGCGGACCTCGCTGACCACAGCATGCATGTGCAGCTCTGCGACAATGAAGCTAAAGAGTTCCGAGACAATCGCCCCTGTCTGAGTCCTCTTATGGAGCTGTCACACTCGGTAACAAAACACACCCGAGGCGCTGAAGGGACAGGGACTTCAGACAAAGAGCTTTGTCATCATGGCCACTCCTGTGTCAGCCTGGGGTCTGTGTAGAAGCAGCCAGAGCAGGTGTCATCTAAAGAGACCCCTAGATGTGGTCTCCTCACCCGAGTTCACACATACGAATGCTGGCTGCCACAGGAAGGTGGGCTCTGAGGACGACTGCACCCACCACACTGTTCTCAGATTTCCTGACCTGGAGGCTCCCAGGGAGTGTCTTCTCTGCAGGCAGCACCCTGTTGACCTTTTAGGGGTGTGTCTAGGCTGAGGCATCAGCAGCCTCTTAGCTACATCATGTTTCTGCCCCACAAATGATGGGAATCCTGTCGGATTTGAGAAAACAGCATCTAGCACATCCTAATGATGACGGGGGATGGGCTCTCACACCGTCGGGGAAGATACCTGCACGGGTGCCCAGGGGAGGCAGATGTCACCCTGTCTGTCACACTGTGTGAACCGCAAGACAACAGGCGGAAAGCCACTGTGCGGGCCAGTTTCCTGTCTGCTTGACACAAGCTAGAATCATCGGAGAGAAGGGAGCCTCTGAGAATTGAGAAAATGCCTCCGTGAGATTGGGCTAGAAGGCATTTTCTTAATTAGTGCTGGATATAGGAGGGCCCAGCCCACGGTGGGAGGAGCACCCCTCCAAGACCTCTGCATCAGCTCCGGTTCCAGGTTCCTGCCCAGTTTGAGTTCCTGTCCTGACTTCCTCTAATGATGAACAGCGATGTGGAAGTGTAAGCCAAGTAAACACTGTCATCCCCAGCTTGCTTTTTGGTCATGGTGTTTTATCTAAGCAATGGTAACCCTAAGAGGAGCTGGTACCAGGACAGTGGGGTGCTGCTGTGACAGACCTGGCCATGTTGTTTTGGGGAGGCCTGTGCAAGGACTTTGGGACTTTGGACTAGAAAAGCCATGGAGTGTTGAGAGCTCAGTGAGCTCTGCTCTGTAGGAGCCTGGAAGTGAGCGTGTTGTAAACACTGCGGATGATGGAGCCTGGAAGTGAGCATGTTGTAAACACTGCAGATGATGGAGCCTGGAAGATGAGCGTGTTGGAAACACTGCAGATGATGGAGCCTGGAAGATGAGCGTGTTGAAAACATTGCAGATGATGGAGCCTGGAAGATGAGCGTGTTGAAAACGCTGCAGATGATGGAGCCTGGAAGATGAGCGTGTTGAAAACGCTGCAGATGATGGAGCCTACACTATTCCAGGTGTGGAGGGTCACACCTGTGATCACAGCACTAGGCCAGGTGTGGAGGTGCAGGGCAGGAATCTGGAGGCAGGAGCTGATGCAGACAGAGACCATGGGGGGGGGTTGCTTACTGACTTGCTCCACCTGCTTTTAAAAAAAGATTTGTTTGTTTCTTTATGTATTTATTTGATGTATGTGAGTGCTCTATCTACATGTTTGACTATATACCAGAAAAGGGCATCAGATCCTACTATAGACGGTTATGAGCCACCATGTGGTTGCTGGTAATCAAACTCACAATCTCTGGAAGAGCAGCCAGTGCTCCTAACCACGGAGCCATCTCTCCAGCCTGTTCAGCCTGCTTTTTATAGAACCCAGGACCACCAGCCCAGAAATGGCCTCACCCAGAATGGGCTGGGCTTTCTCTCTTCCATCAACAACTAAGAAAATGCCCAACAGAATTGTCTATTTATAGTCTGATCTGTGGAGACATTTTCTCCACTGAGGTTCCCTCCTCTCAGGTGACTCTAGCTAGTGCCAAATGGACACAAAGCTAACCTGCACAGCAGCTTCTCCAGACCTGGTCACAAAGATTCTCAGTGGTATGTAGCAAGCCTCTGCAGGCAGTCTCTGTGCTCTGTGGTGAGTGGCTGGTGCTTTGAGGGCAGAGGGGAGGGATGGGGAGGAACTGGGTAGCAGCACAAGGTAACTGAAGGAGCAGTGGGGTTCACTGTTTTCCTACCTAGTGACTGTCAGTCAGGCTGGAGAGCTGGCTCCAGGAGCCCTTCAGGGCTTATGTGCCTGTGGAGGAGGCGGCAAATAGTAAACAATGTGGAAATGGTTTAAGATTAGATGACATGGGCAGTGGGGGGAGAAAAAGCAGATCAAGTTCCATTAGGGCCAGGGGAGGGCGGGGCAGGATTAAATAAGGAGCTCCAAGTATTGAGTCACTGCGAAGGTGACCGAGCAAAGATGTTTAACCAGTAACCAACCAAACACCAGGGGAGAGTGGCCAGGCAGAGGACAGGGGGTCAGAGGGCCTGAGCCACAAGCCAGGCTGTAAGAGAGCCTGGGAGGGAAGAGGAGGCAAATCAGAGTCCTGCAGGACCCCACCTGCTAGAAGACAAAGAAGAAAGTCAGGGGGTCACTTGTCCTTGCTGGGGTGTGCACCTTGTTAGGAGGCGGAGCCGAGGGTCAGGGTGTGACTCAGTGGTGAGCACCAACCCAGCACAGGTCTGCCCAGCAGAGTTGCTTGAGATGACCCTGGGGCCCTCACCAGGCAGCTGAGCGTGTGTGTGTGTGTGTGCTTTAATATTTATTTATTTTATATGCATGGATGTTTGCCTATGTGTATGCATGTACACCATGTGCATGCCTGGTACCTGGAGGGACACAAGGAGGCACTGGAACTGGAGTTTCAGGCAGTTGTGAGACACCCTACAGGGTCAACAAGTGCTTGGGTGAGCCGTCTCTTCAGCCCCCCCCCCCCCCCCCCACACACACATACAGGATTTCTCTGTATAGCCTGCCCTGGAACTCACTCTGTAGACCAGGCTGGCCTTGATCTCCCAGAGATTCGCCTGCCTCTTCCTCCCGAGTGAGTATGCCACCACAGCCCATTAAGGAGTGTTCTTAATGGCATGAACCAGCTCAAGTGTCTGGGGGATCCCGAGGGGCCATCTTCTCAGCACTTGGCTGGGGACAATGCTGGAGTGAGAAGAGGCTCTTCAGAGGCTGAGGGAGCTGGGATCATGGCAAGCACAGCTCACTGAAGACGTCCTGGAAGGGTAGGACCCAGGAACATGGCTGTGACACCTCTGCCTGCCACAGAGCTGAGCTCAAAAGTGGTTGCTTCCTCTGTGTTTCCAGATAGAAGAGTAGATACTGCATCACTCGTATTCCACAGTTAGTCTAACCAGGGGCGGAAGGATTGCTGGCGTGGGCAGTGTGGCGGCTTTCCGTGGTTCGCCTGGGTTGACTTAATGCAATGGATAGCCAGAGCCCAGTGCCAACACCTGGAGGCACTTAGGAGGAAAGATCCCCAAAAGAGCAAGAGATCTGTAGCCAGGACAACTCAAGTCTCTCTCCGGCCAGACAGCCTGTGCCACAGGCCCAGAGGGCGAGCAGGACTTGCGGAGTTTCCTGCACTCGTTACCAGGGCCACCTTGTTGTGACAACAGAGTGTCCTGGAGATCGTGGAAAGTCTGCCTGGACCTGACTGTGGAAACCTGAAAGGTCCCAGCCTGATTGGGTGGGCACAGCTGGTGCCCTGGAGGAGAGATTGTGGAGGGCGGTGGAGGAGGAAAGAGCTGGGCACACGCCTGCTCTCTCAGGGCACCTGGACACCAGCTGTGTGGACCCAGAAAGGACCTCTGGCCTGAGGACGGCAGGTGAGGGCAGATACAGTGTAGCCCTGACTTAGTGAGATATGAGTAGTTGGGTTCCTGATGGGAGAGGCATCTCTTGCAAAATTAAATCTAGCTGCTCATGGCAGATTACTGTTCCCCTCTAATTTTCATGAAGATTCGATTAAAGAAAAGTCAGGGGCTGGGGTTGTAGCCCCGTTGGCAGAGTAGCGTCCTTAACAGGCACGAAGTCCTTGATTTGATCCCGGGACAGCATAAACTCTGTGATGTTCCACACGTCCTCCCAGCACTGGGAAGGTGAGGCAGGAGAATCAGGAGTTTAAGGTCATTCTAGGCTATAAAACAAATTAGAGGGCAGCCTGGGCTATATAAAACTCTATCACAAATATTTTTATTACATTTCCTAAATACTCTTGGTAATTATGTGAACTCCCACCCCCACTATAATAACAATAAAGAGCAACAATGTCAAACCACTTCCCTTTCTTCCCACCAGTGTTCTTTGTGAGGCATTGATACCCACGCTCAGTCCTGACTGGTTAGAAACCAACCAACCAGGGCTTCAGGCCATGCACCTGGTTCTGAAAGAACAGCCAGGGCCACAGGCTGTGCTTCTGGCTCCGGGAGGACGGCCAGGGCTGCAGGTGGTGCACCTGGCTCCGGGAGGACGGCCAGGGCTGCAGGTGGTGCACCTGGCTGCAGGAGGACGGCCAGGGCTGCAGGTGGTGCACCTGGCTCCGGGAGGATGGTCAGGGCTGCAGGCAGTGCTCCTGGCTCCGGGAGGATGGACTGCAGGTGGTGCACCTTGCTCCGGGAGGACAGCCAGGGCTGCAGGCAGTGCTCCTGGCTCCGGGAGGACAGCGAAGGCCTGTCACCAGCTCCTCAGAGTCCTAGTCCATGTACTCTCTTCCTCTTCCTCCTCCTCCCCATCCTATCATGACGATGTTGGAGGAGAACTCTATGTTTGGAGTATAAGGGAGGGGTCAGAGAGTTCCAGGGAAAATTCAATTCCCAATAAATCCAAAGAAAGCTGCCTTCTGCCTTTCTCATAGCTGAAGTGTCCCTAAGCAGTGCTGAGAGTCCGGTAGCTGAGGCTCATGTGGGGTCTGCACAGGACCCACCCCTTCCTGTCCTAGATTGGGGGCCCTAGGACGACAGATCCTTCAACTATTGACTCAAGGAGGCTCTTTTCAATTCCATTGGCTAATGAGGCTGGTGGGATCTACAGGGAGAGAGTGACCCTAAGGTGTTGTGTTCATCTGGGAAGAACTTTGTAGCCAGGAGGCCTTGGGGATCAGAAACTAGAAGCCACAAGGCCATGGTTGAGGTGCTTGAGACCCGGGGCTGTTGTTTGAGAGTCCTCCCCTTTGCTTGTGAGTCTCTCTCTTCAGCCCACTTGACTTCGTTCCCTCCCCACAGCCACAGGCCTGTCTCCAGGCCTGCCCTGAGCTGAGTGCGTCCTCTGTCTTCATAGGTGTAGCGCCCCAGAACATGGCCACGGACCCCAACAAGGGCTTGGATCTGCCTCTCCTGAGCAGCCACCGAGCACAAATCCCTCACCAGCAGGTAATCGCTTTGGGGAGAGGCCACGGAGGATTTCAGAAACTTCATTAAGCTGGAAGGGACAGGTTACCCGGTGACTGAAGCTTGCATGGAGCACATTCTACATACATGTCGCTTTTGGTCATAGAGGTGAAATACGCACGTCAACGTCAAACAGCTAAAACTCATTACAGTTGAATATTTCACACACGTGTGTAAAATACCAAACCCAACTCCATGGCACCTACAAAGGTTCCAGCAAAACTGAGAAATCCAGTTCTGTTCTGGTCATGATCAGGGTGTGGCTGACCTGGAAGTGGCTTGGTGGCTCCCCTAGAGGAAAGCCCATGTGGCACCTGTCTCTCGGGTCTCTCATTCTTAGGGCTCTGTCCAGGGTTCCTATTTAGGTGACTGCTGAGCACCTGGGGCCCAGAACACCCATCATTGGGTCATGTGACCGCTTTCTCCCTCTGTTCTGGAGTATTCTTAGCTGAGAGTGCACAGACCCAGAGTCTGTGGCACCTGTGGCCCTGTGGAGAGGAGCTGTAACCTGAACTCAGTCCCGGCGAATCAGTCTTCACGGAGACACCCAAACTCGGGAAAGGGGCTTTGTGAGAAGACAGCTGATCCATCTTTAAGACCGGGGGGGGGTAAGCTCGGCCAGTTGCGTGTTTGGAGGCTTTTGGGGTTCTGTGAATCCTGGGTGGGGTGGAGTTGACATTTCCCTCTCATCCTAGTTTCTAGTAAAGTCCCAGAGGGGCGTGGCTTGGCTCCCTTGTCAGTCTGGTCCCTACATGGACACCCAGTAGGTGAGATGCTGAGGCCGCCTTGCCTAGGTGGTAGATATGCTACAGCTTGAGGGTGTGTGTATCATGTGTGGTTTGTATGTGTTCAGAGCATTCTCTGGAGGGGTGCTGCCTGCCACTGCCCCCACCCCAGGCCATGATGTGTGACGCTGGGAACAGGGTACAGAGAACAATGAGGATACAGGGACACAGAACACTCACATCACATTACAGTGCATCCTTGCAAGGGAGTCACCCTAGGAGCCCTAAAGTCCCCTCAGGGAAGAGCCTGTCTGTGCTATTCAAGAAGGGAATCTAAGAGGACTCGAGAGCAGGCTCAGCAGCTAAAAGCACTGGCCGCTCTTCCAGAGGCCCTGGGTTTGATCCCGTCGCCTACATGGTGGCTCACAGCCATCTATCACTCGTATTCCTCGTCTGGTCTCAGGTACCAGGCATGCAGGTCATATACAAACATGCGCGACAGACAAACACTCATACACAAAAAAATAATTAAGTTTAAGAAGAAGAGACCCAGGGAGGTGACAAAAGGGCAACTGGCATATGCTCACGGTTGCTGACGTCACTGAAGGAACCTCACCAAAAGGCACCCAGGAGAGCAGCCCACACTGGCTTTTGCAGCACCTTCCGTGGGGCAGGAGGGTCCGAGCCGAAGAGGCACAGTAGAACGCATATTCTCAGAGGCAGTGAAGGAGCAGATGGTGTCTGTCCAGGAAGATTGCTCTGTGATCTCCGTGTGGCCTCAAGGCTAACTGGACAGAAAGACAGCCTTGGTTTTCCCAGGCAGAGTAGGCAGGAGACTTTAATGGCAATCTAAACCCATAGCCTAACTGTGGACAGGTGGGAGGCTCAGACATTCCTCAGATTTGGGAAGTGTGTTGGTCTGGTTTTCCAGTCTGGTTCCAAGAGCCCCATAGTGCTTGGTCCCCATAGAGGCCACTATGTCAGCCACCTCATGGCTCCATGGTCACAGCACCAAGGTCGGACCATTGTTCCCAGCAGACGCTGCTCTTGTCCTTCCTTACCAGGGAAAACCAGCACCAGGGTCCCAGTCTCCAGGGCTGTTGTGACTGGCCGACTTGTTGACACGTTTCTGCAAAGGGAGGGAGGACTGAAGACAGAAATAGACAGGAGACAGAAGATAGGGGCTTCCAGTGAATATGGTAGATGGTCACAGCCTCAAGTTCATTATTCATCGTTTTTATATACACCAATCAAAAGGGGAGGACAAAAGACTTCCCTCCCATGACATGAGGAACGAACAAGTGTAATTACCTCCTTATATCTTAAAACACCTTGGTAACCACACCCTAAGTCAAGCATCGTTGTCTGGTCTTCGAGTAGCAAGACATCCAGTAGTCACACCTCTGCCCAAACATCCTGTTACTGGTTCTCCAAGAGGTCAAGGACCAGAGAGAACTAGGCTGAGGTGTGAAAGGAGCCCAGAGCAAATCTGATTCCTATACCAGAGATCCATGGGTATTGATGCTGTCACTTGTGTTTGTTTTATTTCTGTTGTGTTTTCAATTTTTTACTTATTTCTGTGTGTGTGTGTGTGTGTGTGTGTGTGTGATCACGAGCCTAGGGGTCCTAGACAATCCCTGCACCCCGTCAAATGGAACACGTTCTGTGTCTTTATGACCTGCCTGTCAAATTTACCATCTTCACTGCCATTGCCCCACTGCCCCATTTTAGCTCTATTTTCCTTCCTGATAAATTTATTCAGCAAACTGTGTTCTTTCCAGTGCCGACCACGGGAAGCAACCCAGGCTATGCCAGTTCCACCGTTTGTCTATACATAGTAGTGATAACCTCGGGATAAAACTTAAAGCAAAAAATACACACCAGTCAATTAGAAGGCTATTCTAATTGAAGGCTGGTGGGTGTGGAGAAATGGCCAGGGTCATGCAAATCCCACACTGTACCACTGTGCACTGGGGATGGGTTGAAGATGATAAAGGCTAAGGTAAAGGATGGTGGTGGATCTGGAGAGGAGGGGTGGTTTTGAAACTACCCCCTGGGCAGCATGCATAAGCACTGGAGGACTGGTCAGGCTGGTGGTAGTGCACCTGTTTAACCCCAGCTCTCAGGAGGCAGAGGCAGGCGGAGCTCTGAGTTTGAGGCCAGCCTGGTCTACAGAGTAAGTTCCAGGACATCCAGAGCTACACAGTGAACCTTGTCTCAGGAAAACAGACAAGCAGCCCTGGAGACAGGTGCCTGGAGGGGAGGGATAAAAGGGTCAGATGGCCATCAATTTCCGTCGTGGTGAGGGGGGGGGCATTTGGGAAAGATCCTGAGTTCAGGCTTGATTGGACTTTGGGAGGGGACAGAACCCTCCCACCCCCAGTGCTTATAAGTCTGAGTGAGATGGTATTCAGGGATTGACGTGGGTGTGGAATTGTGAGCACCCTGGAGAACAGAAGAGAAGGAGCACCAAGACCCAAGGGAGAGTGGAGAGGGAGCTAGGGTTGGTAAAGCCTGAGATAACTTGCAGGAAGTAGGCTGAGAATGACACAGAGGAAGAGACAGAAAAGGCGGGACTCACTGAGGCAGGAGGATTAGCCCTGTATGAGCAAAGATGACATAAAACGAAAGGGAGGAAGTGATGCCCCAGTGTGGCACAAGAGAGCTGGTGGGCTTGGCATGCTGTGCCAACCGTGATGGCAGGAGCTGGTCCCGTGGGCCGTTTGGTAGAAACCAGAGCACAGTGGGGCTCAGAGAGAATGGGAGATACCGAGAAAATGAGGAAGAGGGCAGTTGACAGTGGTGTGGAGCCTGCAGAAGCAAAGAGGGACTTTTGTTGATTTTAATAGTCTTTCTAGACTGCCACATCATACAAAATATTGTGCACCCCAGGCCTGGAGTGTGACACATTTTAACAGCGGTGAGCACACCTCCACCCCCCATCTCCAGCCCCTCTAGGTCCCTTCCTGCTTCTTTTAGTCTCACCCTGGAGCAACCTCCACGTGGCTCTTTTCTCACTGTAGATTAATTCGCATTGTCTCACATTCTCTCTATGAAAAACCCTCCCATCTGGATGTCCTGTTACCTTGGTCTCAGAGAGCTGATGTCATCAGAGCGTGTGGTGTCCGGCTTCATCTCTGAGTAGTCTGTGTGGATGGAAGGTTCAGTTCCATCCAGTCCCTCAGAGCTGAGGTTTGGTTGTCAGGTCACACCATGACAGATGTGTGGATTGTTTCCAGTCAGGTCTGTTCAAATGGAGTGAGTGTGCTCACTGGTCCAGGCTCTGTGCACGTGGAATACCGCTTGGACAATTCCCTTGAGTGAAAGAGGGATCTCACCATAAGCCAACTATTAAGGAGACTGTGGTGTGGTCACATGGATGAGTGTTCACACCCATAGCATTTCTGCTAGCAAGACACTAGTGCCACAGTTTGGTCTTTGCTGTTTCTTTTTAAGATGGGGTCTCACTATGAAGCCTAGCTGCCTGGAACTTATTATTTAGTGCAAGCTGCCCTTGAACACACAAAGATCTGCCTGCCTGTTTCCTGGGCGATGGGATTAAAGGCATGTGCCATCACACTCAGCAGTCTTAGCTCTGTGTGTGTGTGTGTGTGTGTGTGTGTGTGTGTGTGGCTTCCCTGCGGGTATGTGCACCATGTGCATGCAATGCATTTAGAGACCAGAAGAGGGAGCCTGAATCCCTGAAACTGGAGTAGCAGCCATATAGGTGCTGAAATTGAATGTAGGTCCTTTGTAAGAGCAGCAGGCGCACTCCACTGCCGAATCCCATTCTTCCAGCCCAGTTTTAGCTCTTCTTAAAGGTCTGTGGCAGAATCTTGCTGTTATTTTCCTTTTCAGTTTATGAATACAATTTGCTGGCTACCATTTTTATTTAACAACCCTTTATCTTCTCAATAACAGCTTATTTTGCCGTGTGTGTGTGTGTGTGTGTGTGTGTGTGTGTGTATGCACGCATGCCTGTGTGTCGTCATGTATATATGGGTATATGTGGCTGTCAGATGACAGTTTCCAACACTGCTCATTCAACTTGTTTTTGCTGTTATTTTGAAAGTCCGCTTCTCATTGGCCTGATGCTTGCTGAGGAGGCCAGGTTGGCTGAGCACTGCTGTTCTGGGATCTGCCTATCCCTGCCTTCCCACTTGTGGGATTATAGTCCATACCACTGCATCCAGTCATTGTAATGAGGGTTCTGGGGCTCAAACTCAGGTCCTGGCGCTTATGCTGCGAGCCCTTTGCCCTCCCGCCCCTAACTGTACCACTTTAAAGCTGTTTTCCTATTGCTAGTCTGACTCCTTTAGTGAAGAGTCCTTGGCCTCCAGGGAAGGTGATGGAGACCCATAGAAGGTGGTCCCGCTTTCTGGCAGTCACATACTGATAAGAGGACCCTAGACAAGGAAAACCCACTGTGAGCTGGCAGAGCAGACACTCGGTGAGTTCCACGCAGAAGCCTTGAACTTATCCCAGAGGAAGACACCTGCAAGCTAGGAGACGCTTTTCCAGTGAGCTCTACACAGACAGAGAGTGCAAAAGCTGGACCCCAAACGCTGTGGAATTAGCTCAGAAGCCGTAAACTTCACTTAGAAACCCTTCTCTTGCACAGGAGAACTGGACTAGGCCTTGAGGGCAAGTGTCTGGGTGACTACATTCTCTGTAATTTTAGCTCATGTGGAATTTGTTGTTGTTGTTGTTTGTTTTCCAAGATAGGGTTTCTCTGTTTCTGCCCTGGCTGTCCTGGAACTCACTCTGTAGACCATACTGGCCTCAAATTCAGAGGTCTGCCTGCCTCTGCCTCCTGAGTGCTGGGAACAAAGGTGTGTGCCACCAACACCTGACTTAGCTCAGATTTTTTAAAAGGCCCAGATTCACCCAGATAGCGCCAACCTGGCGTCAGCCCATCAGCCCGCACTCTCTTCACGTCCTGACTCCTCCTCCCTCTCGAAGCTTCTTGGTAGGATTTTCCCGAGCCCTGGATGCTCCTACTTTTATCATTCTCCCATTCAGACACATGCACGGGGCAGTTCACTTCTCCAGCCTCCTCCCTTGTAGGGACCTGCTGCTCTGCCTCAGTACACTTCTGCTGGATCTTCTACTACACTTGCTCGTCGAGCTGGCCTTGAACTCACAGAGACTTGCCTGCTCTGCCGCCCAAGTTTTGGGGTTAAAAGCCACCACACCCAGCAGTCTTAGGTATTCTTTTTTTTTATGTGTATCAGTATTTTCCCTGCATGTATGCGTGCCGTTCAGCGCACATCATGAGGTGACCACCCTGGGTCAGTGTGACTTGGGCAGCCATCGTATTTCCAGGGCTCCAGTTCCTTGTGTTCAGCCCACCCGAGCCGAGAAACAAGCTGCCACACTCAAAGACCCTGCAACAGAAGGGTTCAGTATTCAGTGGGAAGAAGTGTAATGGACGCAGCACCCACGCACGGGCCTGGCGCCTGGCGCAGCGCGGCTGCGGCCCTTGCTTTCCTTAGACATTTTCATTTGCTGCTTTTGCTTTAAGAGCCTGAGTTTCTCTCCGCGGCGACTGGACGCATCAGCATGCGCGTTCGCCACGGAGATGAAGCACGAAGCACGGAATGGATGAAAGCCAGAACCGGCTCCGAAAGCCAGACCCTTTGGCTGTGCTACTGTCCCCAGCTGAATCCGGGGTGCTGGGTGGCCTTTGTTCTCTTTGCTGCCCTTAAGTCAAAGAAGAGCGGTCCTCTTCCTTTGTCTCATTTCCCCATCACTGCGTCGCCGGGTCTGGTTTGAATCTACTGCTGGGCCCTGATCCAAGTTCCTGCTGTCCCCGAGGAAGCAGGATTGTGTCTGCCTTGCCTCCTCCTGGGTCTCTGGACCAGTCTCTTTGATACAAGGGGAAAGAAAACCTACAGGTCGCTAGGCCCTTGTAGCCCTGCCCGGATCCTTTCTGCCCTGTGGAGGCGGTGGTGACAACTGAATGTTTGCAGGGGCCCTGCCTGGCAGCCAGTTTTCACAGCCAAAGGAAGAGGCATGATGAGATACTAGTGACAGGGCCATGGCAGGGAAGATGTTGCTATGGCAACACAGCAGCAGGCCTCTCCTGGGATGCTGCATCCTAGCACAGCACACCACAGATGACGTTGATGCCGTTGATACCGCGTTGGCCTCTGCAGGGCTGGCACTTCCCCTCCTGCTCAGGGTCGCCAGAGACAGTGGATTCAAGAGAAAATGGGGCCAGACGTCTGGGGCCTGCTCCTTCCTTGGTATGGCTGTCCCCTCATCAGCTCACCCTCATGGAGTCACCTGACACAGTCTCTGCTCAGCCGTGCAGGCTCTTTCTGCTCCCCGCCCCTGTGCTCGCTTTATTTCCAAAGCTAATTAACACCAGGCTACACTAATGCACTGTGAAGTCGGGGGCCCCCACCACCTGCTCTTCCACGCTTCCACTTATCTTCCTGGTTTTCCTCCTTTCCCCCTAGCAGGATGCCCACCGGATCTTGTCGGTGACCACCCAACCCCCAGGACAAAATGTATGTACATGGTGATCCTGTGTGTGTGTGTGTGAGAGAGAGAGAGGGGGGGGCCTCTTCATGTTCCTGTGCCTGACGAGGGATGGCTCAGCCCCTCTCCCCTCCTTCCCAACCCCAAAGGCGAGGGGGGTGCTAGCTGGTGTCATGCTTCTAGGAGCACCAAGATGAGGCAGGTTTGATGTCCTTCCTCCAGTCCTACAGCTACAGGCTCACAAGCTGCTTGCCTTCCTCAGTGTTGAGCCAACACCCCAAGGAGGAGCATTTTGTAGATCTTAATAACACTGAAAAGAGAACAACCAAGCTCCAGTTGGCTAACACAGATCCATGACATCCTCTCTCCCTCCCTTCCCGTCAAGGTCCAACATTCCAGGGCAGGGGCGTGGGGGTTAGAAATGTTAGGCAGGAAAACAAAACAAAACAGAGACACAAAAGAAATAGACAGATGTTGGGAGCTGCAGATCCCTGGCCCCTTGACTTTCTTTGCCTGCAGCTGCTCTGAGAACGGGACCCTGATGGCGGGCTGAGGAGACCTACAGCTGAAAGATCCCGAGAGCTGGGCGTGACTAAGGATCCCTATATAAGCTTCCCCTGAGCACAATAAACTGGGCCTTGGTGTTCTTGTATCAAGGATGACCCGTGTCCGCGTCTCTGTCTCTCTGTCTGTCTCTGTCCATGTGTTTTTAAGTCGCAAGCCTGGTTCCTGGCTCGTGTACTGCCTTGTAGCAGCACGGGTGCTACAGGACAGTAACAGGACCTTTCGGAGTTTGCAGACAGAGCCACAGGGTAGCTTTAAGAGGGGCTCCAGTCAACACTGAAGGAAGCCTCGAGTTCATTTTTCCACTGTCCTTTTATACTCCAACCAGAAGGGGAGGGCCAAAGATGTCTTTACCAATGATACAAGAACAAGCAAGCGTGACTTCCTCCCAACATCACAAAGACACCTGGTAACCACTCTAAGTAAGGACTCCTGCCTTACAGCCCTGAAGAGCCACACCTTTGATGGAGGCATCTTTTTGTTTAGGCAAATCTTCCTGTTAGCCACGCCCTAGGTCAAGCATCCTGTTGTGTTAGCCTTGGCGCAACGGATGAGCTAGAACCCTCTGACCTTTAGTCAGGATAAAAGTGGAATCACTCCCGTGGGTCACCACACACACACATACTCCGCCCGCTCCTCCTTTTCTCTCCTCACCTCTTTGTTAGAGGAGAAATGGGTGCTCAGAAATGGGCTCGTGCCTGCAAAGCAGGGGCTCTACCACAGCCTGGCGTGAAGTCTTGGAAGAGATTAAGGATAAAGAGTGTGGGGAAAGAATTCGGACTTAATTACTTCTGACTTTTAAGTTAAATCCTGTTTGAGGCCAGGACACTAAGTCAACTCTTGAGTCCCACTAAGACATCAGACTTTATCGCCAGGATTGAGAGAGAGCTGCGTACAGCAGTGCACACTCAGAATCCTGGCATTCAGGTCAGGGGGCTTGTTTAAGTTCAAGGACGACATAGTAAACAAACAAACAAAGGACAAAGATTCAGGGGTGACCAAAACGAATCAAGAAGTTCACATAAAAGTTAGAGAAAGTTAAAGAAACTACACTCTAGAGAGAATCACAAAATTTGATTTTGAGTTTGACTGTGAACTTGCCCACTATGTTTAATTGTGTGTATACGTGTAACTCTGTGTGTGGTATATTCATGTGCACGCAGACAGAGGTCAGAAGGTATTGCATAACTCTGGAGCTGGAGTTACTGGTGGTTGTCAGCTGCCCATCATGGGTGCTGGGCCCTCTGAATGAGCACACACGCTCTTACCTCTGAGCAGCTCCTACTATCCAGCTCCTACTGCAGCTTGTTCATCAGAGAACATCCTGAAAGGTCATGTGATATAGGGGTCATGTGATATAGGTGGTTGTGGGGGAAAAGAAGGAGAGGTAAGGGTGAAATCATAAAGACTGCCCTGTGATAGCTGTCTGTGATGGTTGCTGGTCTCCTACAGAAGCCCCAGCTCAGAGTTCTCTGCCTCCATCGCCAGTGTCTTTGACAAACCACCTGCCAGGACTTCCTTCCACCATCAGGCACCCCTTAGTCCCGTTGCTGGGCTACAAAAATCAGAGCATCGCTTGCTGCTAGGACCACAAAGCCACGAAACAGAAGGAGCATGCTTAGAAGGAGGGGGCTGGGCTGGAGGCATCAGCCAGAGCCAGGCAGCTTCTGTTGCTGTTGTGCTTAGAAAAGCAATTCCCTTTCCAGCGGCATTCGGGAGGCTCGGAGTTGTCTTGCCCACTTCCTCACCTTCTTTAACAGCTCCTGTTGTGTGCCCACCGTGTGAGCCAGCACGGGAAGATGGCCAGTTTGCAGCACCAAGGAGCTGCTGTTCCCATGTTCCTAACTGCTTCCAGAATTGCTCCTGCATCGTTTTCTCTGGGGGCACATGTAGGCACGGGCAAGCTAAGTGTCCAGCATGCTACAGTATAAAACAATGTCTAGCTGTATGAAAAGAAGTTCTAATCCAAAATTTAATACGAATTCTTTTGTGACTCAGGGCGTCCCAGATCTTGAGAGACCATTCAAAAAAGCCAAAGGAAAGAAAAGCAGAGACAATCGAGCCCAAATGGAGGACATAGGGAAGGCAGCGCAGCAGATCTTGCCGGAACAGGTAACCACCGTTTGTGTTATTGTGAACAAAGAGAGTCAGTGTCGTCATTGATCTTCCTCTATTTAATGTCTCGGTTCATATTCCGGCTGCGTAACCACGAGCAGCAGGACAGAGCGCTGTGCGATCGGAGCACCAGCGAGGAGCTCTAGAGGATTAGAACTGCGAGAACATAAAACTATAACAAAGTTTTGTTTTGTTTTAAGTCACGCCCATTCCGTCATCCAGGGTCGCATGGTGAATTAAAATGCACCCAACGGAATTATATGGCAAGTACGTGAACAAAGGCTCCTTGTTCTACGGCGCCCTCTGGTGGAGCACAGAGGAAGCAGAGTATCTGAAGGGAGAGAAAACACTTGACTCCAACCAGGACCCAAGAGCTTCCCTCACCTCCACTCCAGCAACCTTGACACCAAGGAAAAAACGACGAAAATCTTCCTGTGTCCTGTGAATCCACCCTCGAGTTTCAAAATCCAGAAACTTGGGATCTGGAGGAGAGAGATTTTGTCTCCCTCAGGTGCACACCTGTTGTAATTGGAAGCGGCGGGGCTGCGTCCCCAACACCCCGGCCGCTTGGCTAGCTCATGCCCGAAATAACAACACACAAACTGTATTCATTTAAAGAACTGCTTGGCCCATGAACTCTAGCCCTTACAGACTAATTCTCGCACCTGGTCTAGCCCATTTCTAATGATGTGTGTAAGCACCCCAAGGTGCGCTTACCGGAAAGATTCTAGCCTAAGTCCATCGTGGGT